GGATCTGCCCCTGACTGCATCTCAAAAAAAAAACCACCTCTCTCGTGGTCCAAGAACTCCTTCTTTGAAGCCGTATTCAGCGGTATCCTACTTGCACAGTGGATTTTAAATAGGGAAGTGGCCACTGCCAACACTCCTGGGCTGCTGGAAGGAGGGATTTCACCCTTCCACCGGGGACAGGACTGTATGACTGCTCTGAGGTATAGCGTTTACTCGTACAAAATTTCTTTACACGACCACTGATGAAACCCACACTGCCACTACGCCTGCTTCAGAAACTGAGCACATTTCTGAGGGAGATGTCACTCGAAAGCCAGCAGGGGCATGAATTTTAATGAATGTATCAGGTTACCCACTTGAGATATTCCCAGCAATGGGATAACCTAACATTTGGAATAGCTAGCAAGAGCTAAAAATAAGGAGGAAGAGTTACCATTCAAGATCAAACTTTGGAAAAAGCACAGCACATGATTTCTCTCCCGTAATAGTGAAAGTATTCAGGAAGAATGTACTTGGGTTAAATTATTTCTTCAGATGGAGCTCCAAGGCAGTATTTTCTCCATATCAAGTATCATTTTGTCAGGGTTAAGTGGTCAAAGATCTCTCTCTCCTAGCCAGATTGAGAACATCTGGAAGGACCATCTTTAAAGAAATAGGAACAAGAGAAAAGGAGGCTAAAAAGAAGGCGACTGTCTTTTGATTCACATGAACGTGATGCTGTGGTTCTAGAGGGGGCACAGTTTTTCGGAGCAGTCTGCAAACACGCGATAGGCCTGGAGAAACTCCAGGTGCAACTGGATGGAGATGATCTTGCAAGATTGCTAGAAATGAAACTACGTGAAGACTGCTGAAAGTGAATCAAAATCTGACAAAAGCCAAAAATGCTTCTGATGTAGCAAGAGACTGAGGATGCTGGGAATGCAGCCTGCAGGAAGGACAAGCCGTGCCGACCGTCATATCACAGAAATCCTGTCTTTACAAACACAGCTACTGAAGGGATGTCATCAAGAACTGCATCAGAAGGAAGGACTAGTTTAACATGATGGCACTTTGAAGTCATTCTCCAGCCTAATGCAGAAACTTCATACCCAGGTGTAGCATCCAATTGCTGTGTTGTGAAATGAACTCTGAATAATCAAAGCTGAGTAAGCAACAGAAGAGACAACTGAAAAATTTATCTTGGCTCAAAAAATGCTACAGGAGCGACTGCAACTCAGTCACCCTGAATTGATAGGAACCAGCAGAAAAGTTTCTAAGCTGACCTCTCTTGCAGTGGAATCAAGTAAATTTAAAGGATGGAAATCAGATGCATTTCCAAATGTGTGGATAAATACTTTTTTTACTATAAGGCCTTTTTAGGAGTTTAAAATACATTTTCTCTGCCTTAAGTTTCAGACATACAGTTCCGAGGAAGCCATCTGAAAAGCACAACTCCAAGATAGTCAAACAGCAGCTTACAGGTCCCAACCTGCAACCTTCTACAAAGTTCATTGCTGTTGTACAACTGGCAGATCCCACAGCTCTGCTTTTCCCACAGCCAGTTAGCATTAAGATAAGTCTGTGTTACAATGAAAGCTTTAAACAGTACTATTCTGTGGCAGTAAATAGAAGAGGTGGACACCATCTGTAAAAACATTTTTTAAAATGAATCCTATTCTAAATGAAAACTTATACAATCTAATGTTTTACACGTTGTGCCCAAGGCTTAACATTTCTGGTAATTTTTATGCTGCAGAATTGCATATGTCTTCAACCATATTGAGGCAGAAGAACCCGAGCTTGGTCAATAAACACAGGTTGCCGTTTTTATGGTAACCTTTCAAATCTAAGTCGAACTTAAGCATCATGCTGGGAGTGGAGAAGAGCAGAATGTTTTATGACTTCTTTGCAGATTTGAAAAACAAATTGCTCAATTTGATTGTTGGTCACTTAAGGGATACATAGCAGATGGGACAGAACCCTACCAACAGCTGGCAAAATGGAAAATTGAGGACCTCACTTTCTACTTTTTCCTCATTCTGAAAAGGTGAGGGAAAATTACTTGAAATTTGAGGTAAACATGCTGTTCTCCCTCTACTCCCGCTATGAGAAATAACTTGTCGGTGCATATAGCATTACCAGGGAAGCACCTCATTGCCCAGTTCATGCACTTTCCTAGACAATTTCTCACAGCTGTTGATTTTGAATGCAATATGCTCAATTATAACTCTCTCTGTCTTCTCAATTTAGCCTTCTGCAAGGGCTTTTCTGAATAGTTTATGCAAAACTTCACAAGATGTGGTGGACAAGGGCACTGAAAAACAGTCCACTTCTGCAGTTTGCACTCATTTTCTCTTCCAGTGTTGCCTTGAGAATACATGCTGCCTCAGTAACAAATATATGGGCAGAAAAATATTCATGGCACCCACCCATTCGGGCTCACATTTTCCATCATACTTCCTTAACAATACAGCGCACATCCTTTTTTGTGACTACTACTATAAGATTCACAGCATTTGTTCTCTCAGACTTTCCTAAAACATATTGTCTCAGTACTGTAACTTTTTAATCAAAGAGACCACGGTTACTATAAAATGGAGTTATCCCTACATTTGTTTCACTTAATTTCTACATGTAGGGGGCTACATATCTAACAGAAGATGAGAAAAACCCAACACAACACAGGTGTGGATGGTCAGTATCCCCCTTTCTATCTCTAAAGAAATGTTGCTGAAGTTTGTTTCTGTGGACATGAAATCGTCATCTCAAGCTATAATTTACTGAAGTTCAAGCCTTTACACTGCATACTCCTTCAGCCATCATGAGAAATAACATTAGTTTGCCAGTACTACATATTCAGCTATGAATTGGTCAATAAAAGTTACCACACTGCTCACGGCAGTGTCATTTAAAGAAACCACAGATGGTACATAGGCTATCAGCCATTTTATTAAAGTACTCCTCTGCTTCACTACAACTGAAGTGTAAACAAAGCAGAATCATCACAATTGGAGCACACACGTGATATAAAATTATTAGTTCACAGATGTTTACTTCCAGTACTGCAGAACTGAAAACATCCAACTGATGAGAACAGCTTTTAGCAAACTTTGAACCAAACCACAGTCTCTGCTTGGCAAGCATGTCAATAATGAGAGGACATCTATTTCCTGATTGTTTTACTTCCACATTGTGAAAATCAAAGCAATGGTAAGGCAGAGCACTATGGTTTTGCTGATTAGGCCTCTACTCTCAGATTTCTGATCAAGTCACGGAAGGACTTACAGGACTGTCACCCCGATATAAACAGTTGTATTTACAAAAAACTCATTAGATGCAGTTTCTCAGGATTGAAGACACTAATCAAGAAACAAAACAGGACTTTTTGAAAACATCCAAAGTCAAACACCACTGGTTATTGAACAAACCCCTGAGGAACTCTGGCCAGCTGAAGTGTTCACAGTGACCACTTCAAGTCTCACAAAAGCAGTGTAGCAGAAAGCAGTGCACCACTCCAAGACACCTGTCAAAAGGAAAAAATTGCCACTTGTGCCGTCATCAGCCCTACTTCTGACAAGAACTCTAGTTTTCCACTAGTGTTTCCTATGTAAACTGACCCAACTTGGATATACTGAGCTTGAAATACACTGGGCAGAAAGGCAATAATAAGAAATCAAGAAAGTCATAGGAGAAGCAGGTGCAAGACACAGAGCCTCCGGAGGAAAGTTACTGACTGGAGGATTTCCAGCAGGACAGACCCAAACCCACTGTAACAGAAGCTAGGTTTACACGGTCAAAGGCTGGAGGAGACATGGCAGAAGCCTAGAAGGTCAGAGCACACCTCACTGAGACAGGAGAGCAGGCCACAGAAAAACACCGAGCCTCACCAGCCCACGTTCTCCACACAGGAGAGTGACCACTTGGCGTTGGTTGGTGTCATACACTCTGATAGGACAGGGACAAAGACACCAGCAGCTCTTCCAGTGAATAACACAGATGGAAGTAGAAAGTCCTACTCTTCCACCCACACATTTTGGTTTTGAGGGTGTTTTCACATGCATGACACACAAATATACAAGCATCAAGGTTGCAGTTAAGTGGCAAAACCATGGAGGAAATTCTCTTAACACAGTCCCTTTTTGGTGCTGAAATCAATAAAGCCCAACGGCATGTGTACAACGCTTATCCTCTGCAATACTCCCATCTTATTAAGTGCATAGTATAGATTCAGAGGAAAAATATACTGCTCTTCTCTAGAAATCTTGCTTCCTTCATTGCAGAAGTTGAAGGAGGCGGGGGAGACTAGGGTGCTGCAAAGTCAGACACCAATCTTTCAAGCTATGAATTATTCTTCCATGCCTCTAATTTGAGAATCACAGAATATTCACAGCTTACCAAACGAAATCAATCAAGATGTGTTTGGACATAAATGATATATAAATGTTATGTATTTTGAAACACTAGGTCTTTTTCACTTGAAAAAGATGACTCTTCAGGTGGAAGGTACCTTTGCCCTACATTTTCTGATTCTCCATCTGCAAAAAGGAGTGCCCTTTCTCACCTTTCACCTCAAAGAGCTGGAAGGAAGGAAGAAGAGAAGAAGGCTACATATGTGAAGAATCTGGCACAAGGAAATTTAATAACACTGTTTTCAAAGCCAAGTACTAATTGCATGCCATAAAGGAAAAAGAGCCAGATTCTTAAAGAATAAAAATCACACATTAATAAATATTGGCTCAGTATGTAAGCACTATTTCCATGCACACTGAAAGTGCAATCCTTTAAGAGGGAAAAACCCCATATAATTAAAAGATGATATATCATTATGCATGACTGCAAGGGGAGCAAATAAAGATCATTAAGCTCTCAAAAAAGCATGAGAAGTGTTTTCAGACATGGTTTACATGCAACACCCTGTACAATGGTGACAGAATATATATGTTGACAAGTTTATAACAATGCATGTTTTCATGCTGATTCCCAAGAATAATGCAGTCAGAACAAGATTTAAAATTCCATACCTTGATTATTTCCACCAACTGATCCACACCACTGTCACCTGGAAAGATTGGTTGTCCTAGTAACAGTTCAGCCAATACACAGCCTGCTGACCACACATCTAAAAAAGGGAAAGGTATCAGTAAAAGGTATGTATTAGGCCATTTATACAAAACCCAGCAATTTTAAGCTACTTACTTTATTCTTTGCCATGTTTAATAGCAGATATAACGCAGCTAAATATAAAAAACATTCCTCTCCTAAATGTTAATCTAGAAAACACAGATACCTGGCATAAAGCAATGGTGGGCAGACAGTCTTAGAAGTCAAACCATGAGACAATGAGAACTGGAAAATAATGTTAAACACCATAATATATTGACATAAAAACTTATACATATAGGGAAAAGACCTGAGAACATTCTGAAAATTAAGAATTTCCCCAAACCCTCTGTTATTTTTAAATTACATTGATCATGAACTATGCATAAGTATCATCCACTGCAACAGCTGATGATGTTTTTACTGTTTCTGAATGTTGAATAGACTCAATTTTTCATCCATATATTGAAATGATATATACACTAGCAGATGAACCAGTACTGCAAGTATTACTTGTATCCTGCAGTACATGATGATTAAGGGATCTGGGAGATAGCCTCTGTAACTCAGCCACATCAAGACCTAATCTTTATCCCAATTCCATTTGCAAACTTGGCTGGATAACAGAACTGCAAGTCATAGATCAGGTCAACAGCATCCATAGAAGAAGCCATCAACTAATTTTCATACATATACCAAAAGCCAGAAGTAGTCACTAGCAGGTACTCCTCTACATGAAGAAAATTTTCATAATCTATTACAGGTAATTAAATACTACAACAGCAACTTAAGAATGTATCTAAGTGCACTACAGAATATATCATTTTATTTTTGAAACAGTTAATTTGTATGAAAAATATAATCAAGCAAATGCAGTAAACACTGCATAGCAGATGTTTGTGAGAATCTGTTGTAACTGCACACTGAATACTGAAGCTGCTCAACACCGTAAAAGTATTGCACCTAGATGCAGATAACTGCTTCTCAACTAAACAACAACAAAAAAAATTTGAATATAAGGTTTTCTAGAAAGTCATCATTTGTTCAATGTATATCTGAAACCTTACACTAAAATCTAACCTCAAACAATCAGCAAGATCTGTAAAGCCTACAATCTTGTAATGCCCCAAAAGGGAAAAGAACAAACCCAGTCCCCTCCACCCATCTTTCTTTGAACTCTCACCTCCTTTTACAAGCTAACCTTTCCCCCCTCGCCCCTGAAATAACAGTACCATCACCACAACTGAAACCCCAGAGCATTTCCCTCCTGCGGTCTGTTCCAACCACACTATAACAGGGATCCTTATTCCCTCAGTGTATTTAAACTATGCCATTAGGAAGCAGGATACACAAAACGCTGTCAGTTATGGCTAAAGGTCTGTGTGAGGAAAATGTCTCTGACAGTTCTCTAAACAGTATATTACCACTTTGTCACAACCACTACAGACTGATGCAAAAAATAATAATAATAAAAAAAAAACAACAAAAACTTTCAGGAATTCAAGACTGAAAACAAAATAATCTGCAAGTTAGAACAGAATTTTCCTTCCCCCATTTCTAAATGAAAGAGAGAGGAGCTACGCAAAAATACTTCACCTTCTTCTCAAGAAAGATATGGTTCAACTGGAACATATGGTAGAGAAAAAGCACTGCTCATTATTGCAGCTTTCAAAATCATTCACCTCTAAGTCAAATGCATGCATTTTTACATAATGCCTTAGTACAAACATTGCATCAGGGCTTATCCTAAAAAGTAACTACTTGCAATACAAACAGCAACCAGAAATAATCCAAAGTTTGAGTCTTGATTTTCAACAACCAAACAAACCAGGTTATGCTTTTTGATCTTTTAGTCGTATTTAATAAAAGCTGATATGGCCACCAAGGTGCTAAGATCTCTTTTGGACAACAAATGAAGGAGGCATCACGTAAAGAACATTTAATTGCATCCAACTGCTAAACAATGTCTCTCCGATAGCTCCTGCTGTTGGGCCAACACATACAACAAAAAGATGACGCAAAGAATCACTTTTTATGTCAACGCATGCATGCTGGGTTTATAGGAAATTACACAACAGTTCAACAGATAGTATAGATTTCTTCAGAAGTAGTGAAGAAACAGATTGAATATACTAAGCAGTCAGAGTACTGTAACTTAAAAGTCTATTTAAAGGCACCTTAAAGGGTTTTGAAAAAGCTGAGTCCTTTACACGGAGTATAGAAACCAAGCAGTACTCCAAAGCTATAATCATTATTTACAACTTCAATCCTTATTTTGCACTGAAAAAGAAACAATATATGGGAAGGAAAAGTATTTGACAGAACATACAAAAACCCAAAGCTGACATGAGAGAAAGGCAGCATTCACAACTCACTTCCTTTTAGAATTTTGAAACTACGCTACCATTTTTTTTTCCCCCAAATTAGACTGTGGCTTTTAAAAACTATTTTAAATAACCTTCTGGACTGGCTGCTCTGTGAAGTTAGCTTTGTGCTGTTTTATCCTTTCCCAGTCTCCCTAAATGTCTTTGCACTCCACCAGCTGATTTCAGACAAGTCTGAAAGGCAGAAGTCTCGAATCCATTACTGAAGTTTTGTAAAAATCAGTGGGGAGAGCCTGCAGCAGTGTCGCTGCTGAGGAGAGGAGGGCTCAGTCCCTGCGGGACACGCCGGGCTTGTCCCCACCGTGCCAAACTGCAGCAGCAAACAAGTCGAAGGACATGCAGGTCCTTGCTCAAGCAAGGAGGCCAAGCAGAAACAGCAGAGGGTACATGAGAAAGCTGAGAGCATCACAGGGGGAGAGAGGAGAAAAAGAAAAGAGGTAGGCATGAGGAAATAGCTGGGGAAGTCTGAGGAATACCTGCTGTATTCATGATGGGTTTAACCCATCAAACATCCAACAAATCTATTGGGAACCTATGTATGTTCCTCATGCATTGAAATCTTCCAAATCGGGTGATTTAATGCCTTGTTAAAAGTCTATTTAATTTTCCTTGCTAACACTTTAAACACACACTGAAATAAGATACAGGCATTCCAAAATCCCCAACTTTTTTTCCAGGAGTGTAATTTCACTGACTTCCAAATTAGGACTTGGGCAATGTTCCCTGGGCAAGGAAGTGAACAAACCCTTGAAGCATCCTCAACAAAAGCCAAAGAGCAGAGGCTAACTTCAGCAGATCCAAGCAGGGACAGCAACAAAACACAATTTACATAGGTGTTTATACAACTCTGGTAAGCAACCTACAACAAGGAAGAAACTGGGAAATTTCAGCTCTGCTGAAACTTAATGGAATCTATGCCATTGACTTGAACGGGACAAAATTTGGCTCTGGCATAGTTTGCCTTTTATTTTCCCTCCCTTTGAACCTGGCATTTAAAAATTTATCTTCCAAATTCGGATGGTAACATTTTTCTCAAGCCTGAAGCAAACAATGTACTAAATTCTATATTTAAGGACATGTTACTTAAGAGAAGTGATAAAGTAGTTAATACTAGTTTTTGATAGCTTCTTCCCAGATCCTTTTCTGCCTTAGCAGAGTTACAGCTAACTATTATAGGTTAATAATCTTTCAGAGCAAGCTTGCAGTGTAACTACCTGCTCCCATGGGTAGAGAAGCATTTTCTGAACTACTTCTTTTTAATATGTGCAATTTAATTAAGGAAAAAATACGACTATAATTCACGTGCTTTAAACTAGTTAATAAACAAGATGAGAAAGCCTTAAGAGAGACTAAGTCAACAAATCATCCTTATGCTGAACTAGTTGGGACAATGTGAAATTTTAGGAGAAAATACTGAAAGTTATTAATTTTAAGTAGAAGAAAGTAGGCAAGGCTACTTTCTTCATACCTTCAGTGAAATGTAGTCTAAACAATATGGACAGTAAATGCAACTGCCAGCCAAAAGCAACCTTCAGAATAAGCTTATTTCGGATAGCTTTCACACATTATAATAGTAGCTAACGCCATATCTTTTGTAGATTGAAGAATACAGACAAATACCATTATCACATGAACTACCTGCACTAATTTAAACACACAAAAATTCAAATAGCCTCTTATATGACAAATCTTTTCTTAAATTAATTTAAGTTTCTATTACTTTACTGATCTTCACAGTTGTTAGGTGGACATTAACTTGTCTAATAATATCACCTGTATGATTCCCTTGCTTTTGAATGCTATTTCAGCATTAGAGAAGGTAAGAACAGCAGAATTTCTCTTTAGTTCAGGAAGAGGCATCTGGCAGGACAATCTGCAAAAGCCACTCCTTAGCTTGAATTCTACATGTGGGCAATGGCCATTCCCAGTTGTCTGCAACAGAATACCCTGTCCGCAAATTTCATTTTTGTGATCTCAAACTCTGCCTTTCCAAGCTGAGAAGCTGGCCCCCTTCTTCACAGCACAAGCACCGTTCATTGTATTATGCTCCAGATCCTCTAACTTGTTATTTGGAGGACACGAAGGAGGTGGGGAGAGTTGAGCCTGCTCTCATCCATTTAGTACAAATTAAGAACTTTCCTTTATCTGACACTTTATGGGGCACATTTACCTTTCTACGTTTTTTCAGCCCCTCATCTGTTCATCTTTGCCTCACTATCCCTTGACCTTGATGGACTATCTCCATCTTGGAGGTGACTCAAAGTTGCTGGTCTGGAAACTGTGGAAACAAACTAGCAGGGAAGAAACCAGAAATGAGAAAAGCAGCCCTAAGAAGTCATAAAATCAGCAGCTTCTACATGCCAAATGCCAGAGCCCAAAGTGCTTTTCATTGCTGCTTGTTTGGAACAATTTTTGGGATGTCAGAACGAGACCAAAATTCTGGATTATGGGCACACATGCTACGCTGGTGCAAGTTTTGCACATCAAGCCACAGTAGAACCACAGATTATAGAGACAGAATAAGGCTAAACCTGAAAACATCAGGAAAGCCATGCTTGTTCCAGTATTTGGAACAAAAGCTAAATGCACATATTTCTATTCTTCTGCAATGTCGAGATGAAACTACAATGACAGGGGATAGAATAGTTCAGTAAATTAATGCACGTGCTTATTTTCAGCATTGGAAGTTGCCATCCAAGACACAGAGGCAAATACTTTTCACTGTTTGGCAACAGGTTTGGGACACACACCTTGTGACGGTTCTTCCCCAAGAAACTCTGAGACAGCCCGACTACGCACGCCTCCAGAGGAGCTTCTGCTCCAGACTGCTGTGGTGAAATACTCTCTCCCAGCTCTTACTAGGGAAGTGAATGAATAACTTCATGATACTTATTTTTGGACACCCCAAGAGAAGCCAGTAATACAGCCACACTGATCAATCTTTCCCTGCCAGTGGCTATAAATGTTCCCTCCGGGACACTCTCAACTCCTGCCAGCGCAGTGACAGAGAAAACGTGCCGAGACCAGCAGATCCTTATTATCCAGAAGCACCACCAGGTTCTGGCGAGCCCTCTATTGCCCCACCACCTAACCTAGTAAAAAAAATAATGCATTTTATGGAGGTAAAGCTTAACTGCACAGCTTCTTTTTATACAAGACGATCATGTGGCAACAGAAACACCTGCACTAACCCCTGCTTCAGCACCTATGTTTGTCCTAGGATGTTGTAGGGGAATGCGGGCAGCCATTCCACAGTTTTTCAGCAGGCAGCAGCACCCATATGACCAGCGCAGCCAGCAGCACGCCAGCAACAGACTCTGGGATGGTGTTAACGCACACAGACCTGCAAGGAAGAAGCCTCAGCCAAAACGCCTGTCAAGGGATAGCTGAAGGGCTTGGTTTGAAAAAAAAACACCAGAAAAATAAAAAAACCAAAAAAACCAACCCCAACCCAACCAAAAACACCCTCCTGCAAATCAGCTGCGGGAACAAAACTACGTGCCATCCCCAGCAAGCCTTAGGGACATGCACACACTTGCAGAATTCATAACCAAAGGTGCACGAAGGCCCAAACTGTACAAGCTATGAAAGCACACAAGTGACATGAATGCTTGTGCCCAACCACTGAAAAAAACCATAAAGTTGTACACAGGCAGACCACAGAGCTATTAGGGGCCTGGATTTGTAGCTATTTGGCAACAGGGGTTTTTTAAAAAACTTGGAATAGGTCATTTCCCAGGTCATTATTTTAACAATAGTCCCAGGTCTGCTGGATGACACACACAGAGGCATTAACTGCAGTAAATGTGTTTTGATGCTACTCTTACTATCATATATATTTAAATACAGCTCTAATGCAGTACTTTACAAAAGCGCAACAAGCACTACCCCTGGCTATGAGTTATTTTTAAAGGGACCTTTAGGGTTAGAATTTAAGTCACGCACTTCGATGAAATAATCAAGATCCTAGAAGTTAGAAGGCGGTTTACAGTTGTGACTTTCAGGATGAAAAGACACATCCTGGAACCAACTTTAGTTTCTGCTACATTGAAGAGCAAATAATGTCATATGGGCAAATTCATGTGTTAAAAGACAACCTAGACAAAGCCAGACAGCCTAACGCAACTTCTGGTTACAGTGCTAAAGAGGATGACTAACTACTGAAATGGTCGTGATGCAGGCCAGCTGTACTGTCAGTCTTGGGCCACCACAATGTCACCACCTCGGCTTAAGAAGCCCCTGTTGCTCAGAAATACTTCCAATAATTACTATATTGCAGCATGTTACAATCATAAGGCCTGCAGTAACGTTAGCAAACAACAAAAACCTTAGAAAACTGCTGGATGCCTCACAGATGACATAAAAAAGTTCTACTTAGAACACATTTTGGCTTCATATTCCTCACTGATTTTATTTTTAACCTAGTTTTAAGATAGCATATTTAAACAGAAGAGTCAAGATCCCTGCTTTCCATGTAAACTCAGTTTTTGTTACCACACACACACAGGTTTATATATAGAGAAAAAACTGTGTAGCAGGAAAAGGCTGTTGTGCTAACAATTCAGAAGAAAACAAGAACTAGAAAACACACACATGTCCACATAAAAAAAAAGTTTAAAATGCAGTATTACAATAGTGAAGAATTTCACAGTTTCCTATACATTGAGCTATGGATAAAGTACCGATAATTAAATGTTCCTTCCTCTCCCCCTCTTTTAAAGAAACCTATCTGTGCTTGTTGGTTGGTATACAAATAATGCTGGTTGTGTTTGGATGAGCAATCCTATGTGAAATAGGGAAGAGTTCTCACTAAGCACTCTTGCTGCCCATCTAGCAAGAACTAAGGAAAATCCTGGTGTTTACCACCACTGGAAGCAGCAGCATCACAAAACTAAACCCCTAGAACTTCTAACATATTGCAGAACACTGGGAAACAGCCAAGTAAGTCTGTAAAGGCATTTTATTACTTCTCAGCTCCCAAATGCAAAGATTCTGTTGAGAAGGAAGTGAAGGGAGGACAGGATAGGAAGGAATATTTGCTGAACTTCATTTTCAAGCTATTCTGTGCAAGTTTCAGAGAAGGGGCTTGGGGGAAGAAGTTTTTTGGGGGGAGGCACTAGAAAGTCTGAACAACAATTGAAATTCATGATGGTTTTGGCAAGTGGAAAATGGCCTCCTCACTCTAGAATGATTAGAACTATTTTAGAGACCAGCAGATAAGAAAACAAAAATGGAAAGAGCAACTTTAAAAAGGGTCTGCAAAAAAGTGCAAGATTACAGTCATTATACAGTTGGAGCAAGAGACATTTTACAGGCTTGTCTATAAAGCAGTCTCTTCTGGTGACACCTAAAATATTTGTTGTATGCAGTTATCCTCTGAAACAAGTTGTCTCAGTGCACTCTGATAATGCAGCTGAGCCAATCTATTAGCTCTCAGCTGGGAAAAAGATATCAACTGGGATCAGCCGCCTTCCTCTCACTCAAGAGCTCCCACCACTGTGCTTTTGCCTGGGCTCTGCTGCTTATGGGACTACACAGTAATGCTGATTCAACTCACTAGAGTAGCAGAAAGTTAACCTAACCAAACATCTCTTGTCAGTTGAAGTTGAATCAGCGTATTAAACAGTAAACCGGGAGAGCTATGGTATCCAGGGCAAGAAAGAGTAGGGCTGGTGCTGCCACTAAGTTCTGCCCTTTTATCTTTATTGTGCCATTACTTTCTGCAGAGTTCTTATGGTTCTGCCTCTTTTTTCTACTCGGGAGATACGCAAGTGTTGCTACAATACATGCTGAAGAATAACCAATGGAAAAAAAAATAGCGAGACAGGTAACTCTTCAGGAACACTTCTTTTTTCAAAGAACTGCAGAGTTGCAACGAGCCAGCCAGCCATTGAATTTAACACTAGTTAGAACATACTAACTTTAAACATACTTTAGCTGGCTATAAACATATTCTGCCAAGACTTGATCATGATCTCCAAACCCTTTCGAACATATTAAACCTTGCCTAAGTGACTCAAGTCCATAAGCAAGGTGAAAGCTTAGCACAATATTGGGGAACCCGGGAGCCAAATCTCATCTCTCCAGCACTAGGACCCCAGAGAATGTCTTGACTAAAAAACTGAAGAAGTTACCCACAACCACCCAACAGATTGCTGTTCGTATTTATGATTTTTTTCATTTTGCTCTTCATTTTTAGGACTCCACTGTAAGAAAACCCAGCTGTTCCCTGTCCTCTGCCAAAATCTCCCGCTTCCCTAACATTTCCATGACACAGCTACGTGCCAGGTATTAAAAAGATGTCTTCATGTTCAAAATTAATGGCTAAAGGACAGCAAAAGTTAACAGAGTAAGTCGAATCAGAAAGACTGTTGCACACAATATATTAAAACTGTCAAGAGAGTTTAAAGCCAATCATTAGGCTACATTTTCCCTCCCACTAAATCTCTTTACGAAAAGCCAAGTTACAGAATTATTTGTGTCTAAATCACAGCATAACAGAAGCAGTAGTTGGTATTTGTACAGTCATTCTTTACAGTTATTTTAAGTCATCAAAATGATTTTCTGGCTTGAGATCTCATACCTACTTTTAAACTAAATGGCAAAATCACCTGGATTCTTTTTGTTCGAAATCAAATTTCTCCCCACACATTAAAAAAGCCCCTTTCCTAATGTAATTGACACGGAAATCTCAAAAGGTATAGAAATCACAGCAGCCGTCTACAAAAATGTGTGTATTTTGTTAAGAAGTGATATCTGACCATTTACAATTAAATTCTGCCTCTGGGGATTATATCCAAGTATCTGGAAACATTTACACTTAACTACAGAATAAAGACTCAGGCAGTTGGTACAGATTTCAACAAATACACATACATACCTATACTGGAGGTATAATCGGTGGCTCCAAAGATCAACTCTGGTGCCCTGTAGTACCGAGAGCAGATGTATGAAACATTAGGTTCTCCACGAACCAGCTGTTTTGCACTGAAAAGGAAACAAAATAATAATCTTTCAGTAATGAGTAGTTTTACAATATTGTAGTGTAGACCAACATTAAGCTTTGGCACTCTTCACCCACCCCCAATTCCTAACTGCTAAAGTACCATGTTATTTTAAGCTGATGCAAGCCACAGACTCAATTTACCATGAAATCAGTCCAATCCATCAAGCAGCTACCTTATACTGGACATAGTAAAGGAAATTCGGACTACAATCTAGGTGATAAATAGGATCAGATTTTTGGCTGGCAGTTGTCTTTTGCCAGGTACAAAGGTTTGTTTACAATGAAAAAGAGGACAGAATACGGTTCAGTCAAATGTAGTTACCTTTTAAGGTTCAAAAGCTCTGGATACTCACCAGAATTGAGAGGTTTGTTTTGGGGGTTTTTTTTGGTTTGTTTGGTTTTTTTTGGTTTGTTTGGTTTTTGTTTTGTTTTGGTTTTTTAAATTTCCATCAGAATATTCTGGCTCTTTGCTGTTTAAGGGAGTGTGGTCTAAGGCAAAAGGTGTATGAGGAGACAAAGGAAAAAAAAAAAAAACTTTGCCATTGTAGTCACTTGTTAATGGTCCACGATTAATATGAAGCCTTCATTTATACTGCAAGAGGTCAGCCACAAAGGATCTAACCTACGGTATTGCCCCAACCATTACCTTTGGAAGAATCAAAGAAAATAAAGGGGCACGAGAGCACATTACTCTTGGAACACGAGACTATGAACATATACTTCTTTCTTAATTAACACCAAGTGTTAGATGGAAAGGAGCTGGAAGACAAAACTGCCCTTTCAGAAATACGGCATTCAACTAAGCAGCACCAAACCCAGCAGAGTGGTAAGCCAGCCAAATCCAACGTCCAACCTTCCAGACACTCTTCTCAACCTTCACGGAAGAAGGACTCCCACCACCCATTTAGCCTTTTTAAAAAGTCTCAGTTTTCTGTTTTCTATATAGAAAATACAATTAACAGATAAAAAGAAAGTACCACCTTCTTATGCATTGTTACTTTTTAGTTTCAGTGTGATTCCTATTTTGCTCCAGCACTGGTGAGGTAGAGCTGAGGAGGAGATTCCCGAGCCACCAGGCATGACGATGCACTGCTTGAATAACCACCATCTGACATTCCCACTCGCTACAGGCAAGCAAATTTAGCAACAGCAGCTTCCGTGACCTCTCACACATACGCCCTAACTATTTTAGTCTGCAAAGCTATAGCGCAATCTAAAGACTCAACTTTCCTGGAGAAATCTGTCTCCTGTCTGAGTGTGGATTCCCAGAATTTCTGTATCAGTTCTCAGATGGGGGCTGGACTCTAAAGGTGATTCACTTGAACAGATACTGGAAATAAATGGGCCACTGGAAACTAGGATACAGACGTCCACTATCTGAGAGCTTCAATTAGATGTGTTGCTTCTGATCTTGAGCCTCTACGGTATGTGAAATATTAAGTGAATTGGTGCACATACACGTGGACTAATAAAGTGTAGCATTAGCCTTAGGTTGCTATGCCACTGTGCCTGTCTTCTCTTCCCTAAACACATCTCACCCTAATATTTGGTTGTATTTTTCCACGATGCAGTATTTCCCCTATGTGACAGCATGTTTATTTTATTTTTCTAATACCTGCATAAATAACAGGCTTGAACTTTAATTCCCTCCCTCCTGACATCCTTTTCCAGGTCTTTTTTCCTCCCTCTCATATGAACTCATTTTAAGAGGAAAACAGATTATCAATAATTTCTCTTTCAAAACTACAAATGAAGACCTTCTGAGGAACACAGAGGATTTCTTTGCAAAGTTGCACCCAGGTTCACTTTGAAGGAAGCTCTTTTCACCAGGTTTCAGGCCACAGATGCACTTACCTTCCGAAGTCGCAGAGTTTTAGAACAGCTGTATCAGGGTCCAGCAAGAGGTTCTGTGGTTTTATATCCCGGTGGCAGATCCCAAAGGAATGGATATAGGCTAAACTCCGGAACAGCTGATACATGTACAACTGGAACACAGAAACATTGCATAAGGCGTGCTTTCCCAGTCAAAACAGAGTAAACAAACTCTTAGAAGAACAGCAAAATCACTCAAAAAAGACCCTACTGAATGCACATTAGTGCTATGAAGATGGGCAAGCTACTCGCATCCTTCCATACCCACCTTTTGCCATATACCCACACATGCAGTTCAAATTTGTTCATTTATCCATTCAAAATTGAGCGCAATTCCAAAAGAAAATAATTGTGCTAGCTTTCCAACATTTATAAATAATGGTAGTCATAAAAAACATACACAAAATAAAGGTGTTTCAGTTTGCTTTATAAATCAGCCTCTTCATAGAAACGAAGTATTCCAGGTTATTAAAAAAACCAAAACCCTCTAAACAACCTGCCCCCCAAAACCCTAAATAAAACTCTTTAGCTGATGAAGTTACGAACAACATATTAAATGTTGCCCAAGGACTATGGTAGTGTCTCAGCCTGTCACTTGAATTAATCTCCCAGTTTCTCCTGGTGAGGGGACAAACTCATTTTAATTTCAAATCTCTGGGCAAAAAGGCAGAGAAAAACAACTGTTTGGAATAATTTTACGCAAGGCACAGCAAACACATATGCTGAGGGAGAGTTTTCTCTGCCTCTTTTCCAAGACTGGCTAACCCCCTTTGCAAGGAGGAATACAGCAAGGGGAGATGTTACGAAGCCAAGAGCTTCACAGGGCAAGATTACAGGGCAAGGGGAGGATGTCCAGCTGCTGGAAGTACACACTGTCGGCTATGGAGAATAAAGAGCTGCTGGATACAATTAGGGCTGTATAGCGTGTACAGTCATAAAGGCATGGGAAGCCCTGTTTCAAGGTTGCCAGGTTGTTATCTTTGTTGTGTCCCCCACAAGGTTCCTCTCAAAATCAAGCTACAGGCAGGACATTGTACCGAAGATGCACCTCCACACTTTCCTTTTCTAAGCACATTCTCTACAAGTTCACCTTTAACGGTCTGTAAAACCGGGTGCAACTGCTAGATATTGATATCAGGTCATATTTGCCTCACTTTCACCACTATCTTTGTCTTTTCACTTTCTCTATCCCTCATTTTTTGTTGTTCATTTAGCAGGGAAAGTAGGAGCAGGAGGAGAATTGCTTGAATATTGGCTCTAGGTCTTTAGTTTTCATGTTTGTTTCTGAAAACCGCAACTCTGCACAAAGAAAAGCAAACAAACATGTTTTCTGAATTGCCTGTTCTAGGCAAGTTAACTCTGTATTGTGCAAGTGTATTGCAAAATAATGCAAAAGATTGCTCTAACTTGAGGAGTCAAGTCAACACATGCAGGATTTAGAAAGCATGCCTTTCATCTCCACACAGCAAACCCAAAACATCCAAGAATTTCTTACAGCATGTTAGAATATACAAATAAGAATTAGGAGAAAGATTACTAGAAAAGCTTCCCTGCAGTTCTTTAACAGTTTCTTTGTTACCCAGGGAAGAGCAGCTCTCTGCCTGCCTAGGTATCAATCAGAAGTGAATAAACAGGTCTGATCCAATTTTTGTGTAGCCAAGATGTCTGGAAAATTGCAAAAGCTTTAATGACATCAAGGTAACACGATCTTTTTAAATACAGGATTGTGAGAAAGGCTTGGCTTGCCAGAAAAATAAGAACAGCCTTCCAGGCTACCTGCAACGGGAAGTCCCAAGCAAGATGAAAGAGTTGAAGCAGAATTTTCTCTCAAAGTGTAAGTAAGGACAATTTTTCCCAAATTCCCATAATGAAGAGCAATTAGGGCAAGAGTACTGACAAAAGATATATAAACAATTTATCAAAAGTTAAGCTAACAGATTTGGGGGACCATCTAACCTGAAGACATGCTGTTCCACCAACAGACCAAACAGAGTGACCTTGCAGTAGAAATTGTTACTACTGGATGATAAAGTTATGTGCTTTCTTAAAAACAGGCACCAGTGCTGACTATTGTGGAGAGATGCCATTTACAATTTATGCATATACAGTTATGGCACAACACTTCATTATTGGAATAATTACTATTTATAGCTTTCACCTTTGTAACTTTCATCTTCTTTCAATCAAATTGAAGTTTTTTCTTAACCCCACCCTCATGTTAAGCATTACGCTTTTAAAGAGGAGTCTGGAGATATCAATATGCATCAGGAATATTTGTTGCTAATTTCCATTTAATGTTACCTGGGCACCATGTTAACAAGTTAATGCCATGTGAAAACATGATCATTCACTAGCGTGTGGACTGTGGTCACCGCAATATATGAAATGGAACTACAAGACCCAGATGGATCCCATGTTTGACCAAAAAAAAAAAAAAAAAATTTTATTCATTTTAACCACTTTGTAAAAGACAACAAAAAGACACAGACAACTTAAGTGAGGTTTTGAGGCTACAATGTGCATAAAAGCATCTTACCCCAAGTAGCTCTTCAAGACAAGAGCCAATGAGCTCCAAGTGGGGACAAAAATATGCCTTTCATGCCCATAACAGAAGCACGTGAACTCTTATTCATACGCCAGGAAAGGGGGAAGATAACAGATAAGAGAACATTATTCTTCCTGACATCCTCTTTCAGTTCCTGACCTTTGTACTATTGTGTCATCATCACCTCAGGAAACCGAAGCTGCTCATCTGGCTGGTATCAGTGTCTACCTAAGCTGCTTCAAAAACAAAACACTCCCCCCACACTCAGTCTCCCTCACCCACTCCAAGATTTTTGTAAAGTGAGAAATCAGGAGTGCTTGCTTTAAGCCTCTATTCTTCCTTCGCTGTAACAAATAGTCATTCTTTTTTTTTTTTTTTCCTTGCCTCAAGGTGTACATGCTCCTAAAAATTTCAAAAAACTAATTATGTCAGAAAAGAGGTATCCATAGAGTCTATTTCTATAATATCCTTCTTCATCTAACCATATCTATCAGTTACCTACCTTGACATAAATCATAGGGAGTGTCTGTTTGGCCCGACTATAATGTCTGGCAACTCTGTATACTGTTTCAGGAACATAGTCCAGCACCAAGTTGAGGTACACCTCATCTTTCTGAAAGAGAATAGAGAAGAAGAAAAAAAAAAAAAAATCAGCAATAGATTTGAAGCATGAAGTACAATTAAAGCATTCAGAGAAGCCAACAGGATGAGAAAGTTGTGGACATTTTAAGTATACATCTTTAGTAGAAGTATGAAGTGCTGCCAAACTGTCTTTCCTTTAGGCTTTGCACTTGTGCACTAATATTTAAGTCAAACTTATGTTTAAGGTCACGTTAATTAATATGGTCTTCAACATAAGGCATTTTCTGATTATAAATGGGGACAAGGATATAATTGTTCTGCCCAGTCAATATTTTCATTAGGAGATATTTCAAGGTGACATATGCATCATTATTTGAAGCGGTCTATTAACTCATTAGTCCCTTACCTGCCAAAACCCAAGAAGTCCAAATTTAAAAGTCCCAAGCTCACCCCCCAACAACTACACATCAAAAAAAAAGTTTTAAAACCCTGCATCTTTTAGAAATGGTACTTTGATCTTACTGAATTCCTAACTATTAAGGAATTAGTAATACATATTAACCATTCGTAGACAGTAAGCCAGCGTTAACATTTGTAACCATTCTGTTCACATGCATTTTGATGTCCCAGTTATCTCCAACTTAAACATATGAACTTATTCACGGCAAAACAGAACAAGCCAAAACCAAAGACTCAAGTATTGCTTTTAATATCTAGGATCAGGTTAGAGGTCTGTGTGAACATAATGCAGAGAAACAACAGAAGTAGCTTTATAAGAAGATACTTTGTTACAGAATACATTAGCAAAGGGAAGAAGGAACAAAGAGGAATTAAATGACAAGGTACTATAATCACATAGTGCCTAACTGTGGAACTGAGAATTTTCAGCATTAAAACAGGTCTTTAAAAGTCTTCTGATATTTTAATGCAGTCTTCTGCACAAATCCTATCAGGACTGTGAATACATTTAATGTTGGGGGTGGGGTTATAATTAACTATATCAACCTGGAAAATTATTTTTGAAAGCTAGGTGAATTACCCAGAAGTTACCTCTCCTGCGCTTGCTGTATTAACAGTTGGATCTTTCTGTAGAGAAAGACAATACATAAAAACTTTACGTGGATGGAAACAGTACAGAACTCCCAGGTCCTAACTGGAGTCCCTTGTCAGCAGCTCCGCTGGCTAGGCATCTTAATACCCAAACCCAAACCTCATTTAGCCATTGCAATTTAATAACATTACTGAGACTTAACATGTCACTTCAAGCACAGAATGTGGTGTGTTTCTCTCACAGTGCTCTCTTTTCCTTACCTGCCTCTGTCCTGCCTCAGCAAAGAGCAGCAGTCTCCAATGAATAAAGAAATAGTACATAGTAACACACACAGAAATACACACCTTGAATACACAATATGCAAAGAACTGCTGGGTTTGTGTGTTGTTAGAAACTCAGAATTCAAGATCTCTGGTCACCATTACTTGAAAATAAACGCTTGTATTTTCAAGACATTTTAATACCTCTTACCAAGACCTCCTAATAGGCCAAGTCACCTTGCAAGGCCCTGCCTACATCACTCTTCCCTACAAAAAGATGCTCTTTTTTAATATCATTGCTTAAATGACAGTGGTAGTAACACCAGCACTAAGCAAATGCCAATGGCCCAGTAACTTGTATCTGCTCTTATAGTACTTCTGCAACATAGACAAGGAGCAGCAGCCTCCGAAACCCTGCCTACGCTGATGCCTCTCCAGTGCCACCCCAGGAACTAGGTAACAACATAAAGGAACCTGGGTACCAGGCTGGAGAACAAACTTTTTGAAATGGAGGAGAAGGGACAAGTACCAGCAGTGCAGAGGAAATACCAGACCACTCTGGAACTCCATGGATATGCAAACGTATGCAAGAAAACGATGTACTTGTATTTTTGCACTTTCCCTTCTGCAACAAGAAAAGTTCTTATTTCCCTGACTCTCACTTCAAGCCAACAAAAATCCACCACCACCTCTTCTTAGGTCAGAGCTTTCAAGGTGTTAATTATAAAATACAGAAGTTAAATGTCCTGAAAAATCAAAGTTAACTCATGCCTGGTAAGGCAACCTGTACGCCAAGAGAAAACAGTCTCACGAGTATGAACTTTGATTCAGTGGAGATAGAACCTGATGAGTATGCTGAATGCTTGCCTCTTGGAGGATGGGAAAGTCTTATTGGTAACAAGTCACTGCACAGAGCACTCTCTTATTGAGGTTGATTACTTTCATTCAAGGATTCATTTTCCAGGTATCAAAAGAATTTACATGATAGAGACAGAAAAAAATGAGTAGAAATGGAATTATAGTGATTGCATTGTCCTCTCATAGTACAAGTAAAAGGAGACATATAAAACAGTAATATATATGATCATTAAACCGTGTCTATGCTACTTCACAACAGCAAGTTTTGAGAATTACAGAACTCTATAGTTCATACCACCTTTTCTTCACCTTTCCTCTGTTTTTATTGCTATTTTATGTTCTGTTGGAAATGGGATTAATTCAGTGGCATGACATAACACAAGCACAAAAAAGCTCAAGGCACCTGAATCGGAGAAATGGAGATTTTACACTCACCCACCAATGCTTATGAATTTTAATGCTATCCACAGTACTTGAACAAACAACATGGGGTTTGCGTGGTACTGCTCCTGTGTAAACACATATCACACATCACCTAGAACACGAAAGCACACGAATACCTTTCCCCCAGCCAACGAACAAGTTTTGATGTACCATTTGAGGTACCCACAACTTTAATATGCAACTATAAAGGCAAGGCTTATGGTGTTGGCTGTATAAGTAGCTGCATATTCCACTCCTACCACAAGCAACTGACACTTCAGAAGTGCTCTAAATGACTACTTTCATGAATTAAAGATGATTCAAGTGTTCTGACCTACCTCCTCCTGATGTCACCTGGCACAAATCTGATAAACACTCAGAATACGGTTTTCAAGAGCCCTCACCCTTCTCTGTGAGCATGAACTGGATGAAAATAACATCCAAGTTACCTGGATTCCCCTGAACAAGATTCAGGACAAGCTAGAAAGCAGTCATGGCCTGACAAGCTCCGAGGATGATGTAACCTGGTTTGCCTACCTCATGCATTCCTCCTAAACACATATTTTTCCAGTGACCCAGATGTATTGCAATAGGAAACAGGGTTAGCTCAAAGAGCTTGCCAAATGAGGGCAACTGCTTGAGGATCAAGCGGGAGGATCAAGGCTTATCTTTCCATTACAGGAAGCCTTTTTCAAACCTCACCACATATTCCACACATGACTTGTTTCCGCACTGCTGTTTCAAAATTACTGGGCTGGGAACAAACCAAGGTAACCTAACTGTCAGGAGCACTTCTAAAATGCCTCTACAGAGAGCAGAAAGTCCAGAGGAGACTGCATCACATAAATGACAGAAAGCAAACACAAGATGTCATTAAATAACTCACTTCTTACAGACCTTAGGATTGAATAGATCATTAGCTTTCCTCAGCAGGTCAAATGATAATGAGCATCTATGTTCTCCTGTGCTTGTTGCTAAGGTTATGACCGAGTACTCTTGAAAATAAAATAAAATAAAGGTGGGGGGCAGGGGGGAAGAGAGAGAGAAAAAAAAAAGGGGGGGAAGCCAGACACTGAAATACAGGATCAGTGTATTTCATTAGGATTTTGACTTTAGCAATGCGGCTCATGTATCTGCAATTGCCTCAAATGTTAGAAGCTGCTTTTTGTCACCTGGCAGATAAATCCTCAGTTGACAAACACTGCTCTGAAGCAAGCCACAAGCAAAATAAAAGACTGCCGTGCCATTGAAATGCTCTGCACCTCCCAAGAACTGACAATTCAGGCACCACTTCACTTTGGTTGGGAATGCTTCATATAAGTAAGTACTAATACAGACTATGCCATAATAAGAGGTATGAGAAAGACTAGGACACAAGAGCCAAAACATTCTAGCAACTTAATTTTTTTCTTTGTATCAGAAATTGGAGATAAACCAGGCTGCAAGTACAACTACTCTAGCACATGAGCATTACACATTATGTGGCTGAAGACTGAGTGAAATTGAAAACATCACCCTACTGACACAAGAAAGGCTGCATGGAGGTCTCAAACTCTGCTTTTAAAACTCTTCTCTCCTCCTAAGTAATCTGTTTGAAGCACCATCCAGTTGAGCTTAACTGTGGCCAACATAAAGCAACAGCTATTGAATTCAAAGATTCACTCTTCTGGATTGTTCCTTGCAGGGAAAATACAAATATCCCTTCTCTATCATCCTCCCCCGCCTCAACAAACCCCAGATTAATCCTGAGTGGTTTCTACCAGCTTTCATTAATTTTTTTCATATATCACACACACTACATTTACAACGTGCATGTATAAACTGCAATCAACATTAGTCAGTCACAGTCCAAGTATTTCCCCTATTTACCACCAACACGATGATAGAAGCCAAGGAGATCATACATGCCAAATGCCAGACTAAGGGCAAAAGGAAAAAAAAAAAAAAAAAAAATCACAGGGCATACTCTGAAGAATATGTCAGCACCTAGTAAGATGCTAGAAGTTCTCCTGCACTGTCAGTCCCACCTGGAATCTAAGGAATCTAGGATAAAAAGGTTAAGAAGCTATTCCGGGTACTCATTCTTCTAGGATGACTAAATTTACTGGTCAGCATTTGGAAAAAGTGATGAACATGCTCATTTAAATTTTCATCTCCTGGCAGATCAGTGACAGTGCAGTGGTGGTTCTGGTGTGGTTTGCAGGTGTTTTTTTGCTTTTGTACTTTCTTTTTTTAATCCCGGATCATTTAATTGAGCTAGTTTTCAGATGGACTCCACATGATGAGCTGTATGAGCATAACTGAGAGGAAATACAGGAGTTTCTTAAATTAACGTTGCATTTGGAGAAATAAATGTGGAATTGCACTCTGAAGAAACTCACTTTACCCGCCTATTCAGGCTAAAAGCACATACATACATAAGCAATAAACATAAAATTA